AGAGAAGTCAAGTATCATTCTTGGCGTTCTGCGTCTCGAGTGTTTCGCGATAATAGCGCGTTGGAAATCAACCACTAGCATCGCTATGCATACGCTGATTTCGTATCCGTGCGCTCCTGATTGTCTTACATTCGACGTTGCAGACGCGTACACGCGGTACACGTGAAAACGCCGGGCGAGTCTGATATAAAATAGTAATTCCAGAAAAAAATCCAGAAAAAAATAGCTAGAAGATAGAAATGTCAAATCGTCGGTACGGGATCGGATAAAAAACGTATACACGTAAGTCTCTCTCTCTGCGATATCAAATATTCCGCTTCCGCGAAACCCGGATATCATTACTTTACATTCGTATCTCAGCGGCAGTCTCGTCACGTGACGCACATCGGGAAAAATCTGATAGGACGAATAAAATAGAATAAAATGCAGTGTATCGCGTAGACATCCCGCTGCGCTAGGTTTCGCCGCAGGAAGTAGCGACGCTAGGAGTTACCATATACTCTATAAACGTATACAGCGCTGGATATGAGAAAGGGAAATAAGAATAAACTATGCGGGGCGTTTCATACTTAGAGGATCGGATTGTGGAGAGAAGAGTATTTTCTGAAACTCGCGAAACTTCAAGCTCTCCTAAAGAAGATACAAGTCTCGCATTAAAGGAGATACAAGTCTCCTTCTTATATGAGTTTAGCGCTATGCGCCGAGAGCGTGCGTATACCAACTTTCGTAGAGACCGACGTATAGCGTAGTATTATCTAGCGTTCTATTAATTTAGATCTGTACAACCGTGGTTTGCGTATCGCGGTGATAACGCGGTGTATGATACGAAGCACCGAATTTCCCCGTTATCCGTCGTAGCGCGACGACCTTACGTTTCTATCACGATATTAATGGAATGTTGTTTCTGTCAGAAACGAGAAACTATGAGACAGAACGCCGTAAGTAAATATAATCCTCGCTCATGATTCAACGCATGTGGAATTTCGTTTTGGATGCGCCAAGAGACATCCCGGATGTATGATGAGCCGCGGCGTACATATGATTGATATTTCAAGTGTCAAGTTTGCTACATACGTTTACACGTCCTCTGTTGTCGTGTGCTTAGAGCTTTGTATTTACTACAATAAAAGCCTTTTATTTTGACAATAAATCGACGTGGAACAAAATCAATATTATTATAGGAATATGGATGTTCCACGTCGCTTTATTGTCAAAACAAAATTAACAATTGTATTTTTAACAAATTTCAATAGAAAACATATTTAAATAAAAAGAGCTAAATTTTTTCAAGAAGCACAAAAGAACGAAAATGAGTTATTGTGTCTGCAAAACTTCGCTTTAACGTTTCTGAGTTAACATTATCAATAATTAATATTTTAAGTAAGACTAAAGATTTTCTAGGCGCATGTCCTGACGCCAATCATTTATTTCTATGTTGTGCATTTGAATGAAATCTCCGAAGTAGCCGGGGAGGAAGTTTAAAATCATTATTTATAATATATAGGAAGGAGATGTGGAGAATAGTTTGTCGCCTATATTGGCACTTCCTGTAAGTACGTTTAATCCTATTATCGGCTAACGATTGTGGACGGTCATAGTTGTCTTAACTTGTCTAATTATCAGTGCCCAACTTGTTGCTCGCAAACTGAGCAGAACAATAGTTGCTCAACAAGGTGCGGCTAGTTATCAAAGTTTACCAGGATTCCGCCTTTGAGGGTCCAATTAGTCGGCAAGCTATGCAAATTTCAGGTACTTACTTATTGTGGATAGTTCCAAGTCCGATAATAACGAATTAGACACTAAACAAGCAAATATTTGCAGGTACACATATATATAATAATACGCGTGGTATTGTCCGAGAAATGCCCGAGGCCACCTAATGTTACGATTTGCAAATTTTTAAAATATATGTACTTGTAGCAAGAAGACCAGACATGCTTAAAAGTGTATCATAGTATAAAGAAAATAATTTTTACGGCAATTTTTCTAGATAAATGTATTATTTTATTAATTTGCAATTTAAACAGCTTGCGCGTCTTACTATAGAGACGCACTATCTCGTTTGCAACAATTTTTTAACTTTAAATTTATTTCCTCTTTTAATTTTAATATGTTTTATTATAGGATATTATTTTACACATATCATTTAAATACAGAAATGTGCGTTGATCCAAAGGCAAAATATATCTGCAAGTGTTATGAAGAAATAGCTGCTGTCACACGAATCATGCTTTAACGCTGTCTTCCTGTCACTTAATCGCATCGTCTGTAACTTATAACTACGATCTACGGCCATCGCATCGCGAAATCATATTGCATGCCCGGAGGCTATCGTCGTTACAGAAGGCGATCTGCAATTACTGGATATTAGCTACCTCCATTGGCAATCTGTGGCGATCGGAATGCTTTCATTAATGCCACAGAGAATGTAGTTATTTAGGGTGGCACGTACGGCAGGCTTACGCAGAGACGTGATTTACGAGCCATCTCGCCGGCTCTAATATAGAAATAGATGAACTGATCGCAGCTTTCTCGACATAACGCCCCGCAGGTCGTGAAAAGGGGGGGGGAGTAAGGGAGGAAAGGGAAGAGACAGCGAGAGAAGAAAAAAATGGACGCTCTGGTTTTATCTCGCCTCGGGTGTAAAGTAATCTCTCGCAACGGAGCCTTCATCCGGCTCTCAGCTATGCGCGGTGCCGATAGCGATATCTCCTTGCTTGATTCATTAGCGTGGACAGTAATTAAGGTTGTTATGGGCGGGCAAGAAGCACAAAAGTCCCCGTGCGAAGTATAACCGATCGTTTTGCCCGATCGCGCAACTGATAACGCCGGGATCGGTTGGAGTGGACGGACGGAGGTGGATGTCCGATCGCGATTTATGGCACGCCACAATATATACGCGCAATACTCCGGCGCGCGTATCCTTCACGCGATAAATCTCGCTGAAGAAAATACAGCGAAGTCGGCGGGACTCGATTATATTATTAAAATTAAGGCAATGAATCGCGTGTCAATTCCACGCGATTGAGATAACGGATGAGATTGAGATAAACGTCTCTCCGTAACGACTTAATCGATTAGAAATTTGCAGCATCGCTTTCACATCTGTTGATTTTTGTACGAGTAACGAATATGTGATATCGCGAACATATTTGTAACAACAGCGCATCAGCATCTAACGTCGTAAATAAATTGTCGAGCAATGTATCACGAAATAAAAGATTTCTTTTTTTTTCGCGTGAAACGGGATGTAACGAAGCGGGTAATACAAGATACGTAACTGAATTCACGGCGGCCGGGCTGAATTACCCAGAAACCGTCGTGATTACGCGACGCGCGACCCTAAAAGTTAAATTAGATCTCACCCCCGGGGGATGAAGAATTTGCTCACGTGGACCGCGGAGTCGCGGGCAAAGAAACTCGTCGAGTTATTACCGCCATAATCTAGCGCACTAAAAGTTCCCCCGCTGTCCCTCGAGGTACGAAATAAAGCTTACGAATGAACACGTACACGCCGTAACACTCGGAATGATTCTCGGAGGGTGCATTTACATACATTACTAAGTGCTTTTTATCGTACTTTCTTCGGAAAGATTGCCTATCTGTCTCTCGTGCGATCGTCTTGTTACGACACGACCGACGCCGACGTTGGACGCGAACAACTTCGAATGCCGGTGACGTATTTCCGGCACGATCTGCCCCAGAGAACGTGTCGGTGACATTAAACGGAAACAATTTTGTACGTCAATTAATGCATGCGAGAATTAATGAGATTGCAAGATTCTACCATTAATTACCTCCAATTAGCAGTACGGAGGCATGGAGCGACGATGATATTTAATTGCACGTAGAGACAGCGGGCAAGCTCTTTGCGGACCGATGCGTAAAATGTACATTTATAATTTAATTTAATCCATGAGAAGCGATGAGGAATAACGATCCCTAGGTCCGGACCATTCCAGTGCCTGCGAGAGACGGCTGCGTCTCTCTCTGCTCTCTCCCGGAGTTTCCACCATTACGAGCAACGGCGAGCGAGCGAGCGCAGGCGGATAGTTAAATAAGAGGATCTTTCCAAGTAATGGCAGATAACCAAAGCGCGAAGTTTGCGAGAGCGCGGAGTTACCAGCGGCGGACGCGGAGTCGTCCGTCATCCGGAACTTCTTCCCGCTAATGGCACCGCGTGGCAGCGTTAAAGCGGGAGTTGGTGTCGCGTACTTTATGAAACGACATCGCGACGCTTAATGTCAGCGAAGCTCGTTAATCGAGTAAGAAACCGTCTAATTATTCCGTTTGAGCGGAGGGTATTTCCCAAAATTACGGCCGCAAAAAGGAGCGTTCCCGCCGCTGGGAATCTTCCGCGATTCGCTTTGCATTGTTTAAAACCAAACGGCACGATTGCTCTTCGCCGATTAATTCAGTATATGTGCGAAATCGTCACTTAAAGAGCGCAGTTGTAAGATCCGTTAAGTTACCATACCATTATTAGATTTTAGTGCAAAAAGTTTGTTATATTTGCCCTATAAAGTTAAAAAAAATTCAGTGAAATTAAAAGAAAATTACCCTCCAGAAAGAAATTTCTCAATCCCCTTTTTGAAGAATTTGATTTTCTAATTTTATTTAATACAAAGCTTGATAGAAAAAGAAACTTTTAACACCAGTCTAATATAAATCGTTACGAGAAACTATAAAGAAACAGAGAACGAGTGCTTGTTCGTGTGAAATAACGATATAAAATATTTATAATTTTGTTAACGACTTACGCATTAATCATATATTACGCTATTAATGCCTTTCTTCGGCTTGGTTTTAAAATCTTTGCACTCAATTTAGCGTTGCTTAGTGCGCTAGGATTTTGAGATTACGCTATACATGTTATCTTAATGAAGCACTTACCGTTTACTGGCGTAGCTGCTCCTTTGTCTCTTGGAGGGATAATAAGCCGGATTATGGATTCGGAAGTTGCCAGGCGTGATTTTCGCGAAATGAAATACGCGCAGGTATACGAGAGATGATTCTCATTTGAATCTCTTCCATCGTTTATTTCTATTCACAGTCAATAAATTAACACTTATCGTTAGAAATCATTACGAGAACCGAGGGACGATGAGAATTACGTGTGATTTGTGTGTGACCATCTCTATAAACCCCGCAATTAATCAATAAATACAAAATCAGCTTATAAAAAGGTAACGGCGATGCGCGCTAATTCGCGCCCGCGTCTCGCCGTTCTCTAGAATCTGTTGTGTTCTTCATCATTTTTGTTTTTATTACTTTATGTACATTATATTCGTTAATCACGCGAGAAGAATGGACTAGACCGCTACGTAAACGCTTAATTTCTCATTCGACCCTAAGCGCCGCGCTTCGTGGCGTTCTCGATCGACGAATAAATTTATCTAAGCGATCGCGCTTCGCCGTCTCGGAGGGTCGTGCGAGGCGACGCCATAGGCCTTCTTTCGTTCAACGACTCGCTTCTCCTCTTAAGGTACGCTTAAATTATCTATTTTTTTCGATTACTGCGCCTTGGGTCTACGATTAGAATGAATTTTACTTTACATCAAATGCTGCGTATTTTTTTTTCTCCCGAGCTAAATAAAATCACTATCGTGTCTATTCGTACTCTCATAAACTCGTTACTAAATTTAACATCGCGTCGTCCCTCTCGCTTTTACCTTTTCTCCCCCTTTCTTTCTCTTTCATACACACACATACTCTTCATTACACGCACACACACATAAGCGCATACTCAATTTTCAATCAACCCTCTCATCCCTCCTGTTTCAGCCCTTCCTTTAATAACAACCACTTCACTCATTCTCTACACATGTTGGTACTCTCGATGGAACGGATAAACTAGCAGACATCACCGAAATCGACGTACCGTTTATCGGATACGTCCTCCTCCCTCCCTCTCTTTCGGATCGTCGGATCATCGCACAAACTCGATAAAAAAAGTGCCCGCTGATGGAGCTTATGCGCGGGCGGGACGCGACGTAAATCTCGATATTGCGAAACTTCGGTCTCGGCACGAAAATCGTACGCTGCGACCGCGATCGAGCGTTAATCGCATTAATCAATCTCGACGTTGATGGAAGCAACTTGCGACTCTACTCGTTCGGTCTAATCACAGCCGATTTCCGGGCCGATTGGGTATTTCATTGTCCCTCCTTCGGATTCGCTCCTCGTGGATCGCGATCGACATCGCGATGACATTGCAGAAGAAGCACGCTCTACGTTACGTGGATGGCGAGATATTTGTGTAAAAAGTGTACGTGTGTCGTGCGAAACACTTTCAGTTTCAATAGCTCGTTATCGCGATAATACTTTAGATACGATAAACATCGAAGTCACGGCGGCAGCTTCCTAATCTCGAATTATCGATCACTTTAATTTATATGGAAATATCGCCGTGCTTGGCTCACTTCCAGTACATGTTAATTCATGCCATCTAGTTTATTCATTCGTGTTCTTCTGAAGCTATACATACACTTGCTTAACACTTGCCGATTGTTATCTCTTGATCATATAAGATAATTGAAATCGTGAACACCAATTGTTCTTTCAGATACTTTTTCAATTAATTTGTCAATATGTGACTGTAGCGTTTATCGTAATACGATATCGCGATAACTCTTTAATAGCACTGATCGCTTCCGCAAGCTATCCGCCGATATTGTTTCGATCGTACGTTCGCGGCGGGCGCGCGTTCCTCTCTCGTGTACTTAAACTTTTTTTTCTCCTATTTTAATTAATAATGCGCTTCGTCGAGTCGTCGCTGCGTCTCGTAACAGCTTAAATTATTACTTAAGATTTATTATTATCCCATCGGGCTTCTTGGCCTCTCCCGTACCTGTTTCTCGCAGCCCTGATTCTCTGATTGCGCTCCCGCGTCTCATAAAATTCATCTATGATTTTACACTATACAAGAGATGTACATAAGATCCAACGGTACGATATAATGTGTATATCGCGTATATGTATATAGTCTATAGTCTTAAGTTTTGGCAAACGGGCAAGGTCAATACAAAACATCGTTAAGTCCTACGCGTAATATTTATCTATGTACATACAAAATCTCTGTAACTTTCAACGTTTTTCCTCCCGTGGCGTGGTCAATATACACACATGTACATGGTTTACCATCGTATCGAAGAAACTGACGAGTCGCATCGACGATGGGGGATTGTCCGTCGTTAATAGCACGCAAAGTCCGAGTGACGAATGCGGCGTAATCGGCGCCGCATTCCATGGAGACTTCAGGTTCTCGCACTATTCCGTATAAAATTATATATGCGAACAGTGGAAAGTAAGTGGGAGGATATCTCCTCGCAAGTTCGAGTACCGGGGTTTTATTGAAAAGTCGCGTAAATAAACTAAGTAAAAAACGCTCGTAAGGCATCCTGTGATAATCGAATTCGTTATTTCTCTATTACCGCATAAGATGGATCCTCACGAGTTTGCGCGCCGTGTAAAAGCGAAAAATTGTCTCGAATGTCTCGGGATGACTCGTAACTATTTCGTTCGCGCGCGTCTTCTACGCGACGAGATCGAACGAACGTACAAAGAGCGAGTCCAAAATATACGATAAGAGATCGCCGTTCAACGAGAGACGAGAACTCGATAACGCTGGCAGTTTTTGACGAACGCTCGTCGGGCGAGCTATATAGTATTTGTAGTGATTAATCGCGAGGTCGTCCCAGACGAAGATGAAACCGACAGATAATATCGCACGCGAAATCAAAACTAACGGACGCATAACGTTATATCGAATCTTCGTTCGTGTTTTATTTTTCTTCCTCTTCCTTTCGTCTTTATTTATTGTACGTAATGGGATCGTGACGACGATTCGCGCAACGCAAGTGATGGTCACCGGCCGTTGTGTCTCCCTTTTCTTTTCTACCTATTCGAATTTAATCGATCGTTATATTGCTATTGTATCACATAGTATTCACTTATTGTTAATTACACGGCTATATGTAGGCGCGATGTGACTTGGCGGTTTCAAGATGCCGAGAGCTATTCGAAATGCATCTCGCTTGGACCGAAAGCGGACGTAGACGCGAAGAAACTTAGCCGATGCTCCGGGGAGCCCTTGTTACAACTGCTAGAATTTCGCTCGTTTCGCGAAATTCTTCCCATCGCGCGTCCAAAGACACGGAGTAACAAAATGTTCCCCCCGACATTAATATCGGAAAGATCCATTCGCGCTCATGACAAAAATTATCAAATAAAGTTAGACAGATCCTCGGGGTACTTTGCCAACAACAATAAAAGGAAAATGAGATACTGTTTTGCGAGATATATTTCAAGTCGAGACGCGATTGAGCGCACGTTAATCGTCGCAACGAGCGGACACAGCGGCAACTGTCAATTATTATCTATTAGCAATTTCGTTAGAATTGCTTAAACTCCGCGAGTCATCCGAAATGGAAGAAATATCTTATTACCAAGTATTACGCTCGTCGGGATCGCTTATTCGGGAACGATATTTCTCGTTGGATATAAAATGTACGAGATATTCATGATCCCGATATTGCCCAAGTATCTCGTGGACGAATCGTAGGCACCGCAGCCTGAAGACGATTGTGATCGCGTAACCCTCTAAATCCGAACTAAGGCCGCTCCATTGTCGGTAAAAATTGCGCGATACCCTTATTTTTGTACCCCTTATCTTCGAGCTAAAGTCGCGCCGCGTCTTGCCGGCCTACCGATTTATTGCCGCTCTTTTCATTGGTAACTCCCGTCATTGTTCTGACTCTTATTACCGCCCTGGGAAGTCGGCGACGCTCTGCTAAAGCTACCGAAGTTCTTGGTCGGCGAATCCGACGCGGCGCTGGCGGTAGCGAGTATCTTGTCCCTGGGCGGAGGTGCTGAGCTAATGCTGGACGAGCTGACACCGGAATCGCTGGACTTCTCGCTGAGGCAACCGCGCTGGCTGAGCCCAGTGACATTGCCGGTGCCTTCGAGGCCCAGATCGCTGGTACCACCGACCATGTACTTGACCATGCCGCCCAGTTTCTGACTGCTCTCGCAGGCGTCCTCGATCACCACCGTGTCGCCAAAATTGCCCCTCTTCGCGATGTACCGCACGTTGCCACCTCGCAGTAACGGCGACTTCTCAAACTGGCCTTCTTTCTGGCTCGCCACCGAGCCGGAAATCGGTATATTGGGATGAAAGTCGTCCTTCGGATCAGGTAGACCGCCATCCGTAGCGACAGTACTGTTGGTGTTCTTCGTGGCGGCCGTTGCGCCGTCTAGATTATTCTCCCTCGACAGCTTCGTCGACGTCGTAGTTGTTTCCGGGCTGATGGTCCGTCGACTGGTGGTATTCTTGTGCGCGTCGTAGCAGCCGGAGTCCCGTGGGAACTGGCGTCGGTTAAACGGGGAACAGTGGCCAGACGTCTGGCCGGAGGTTAAGACCAGACGACTGACCTCGTCGCCCTCTGAACTCGAGGCCAGGTCACCCTCGCTGCCCGCTGTAAGGACAGGCGGGAAAAGAGCGTGTGCGTGTGTGAGATTTTATGACCGATTCGATCTCTCTTTAAATATTTCTATTTTTGGAAAGCAAATAAAAACAAATGAAAAAATTAAATAAATAAAGTTAAATAAAGATATATATATAAAGTTGAATAAAATTTCAAAATTTCTTATTTTTATATCACTTTCCGAGAGCGAGGAGTGTGTCTGCGGTTTTAGTAGTTTGAAGTTATCGCACTTTTAATCTCCTTTGTATTAAATAAATTAAATAATAAAAGAGCTATCCCATTTACATGAAATTACAACGTGATTTAAAAGATGTATAACTTGTATTAATTGTAACATGATGTATGCAGCAAGACAAATAGCAACGATGATGAAAGGGGCTTTGGGGAGACGTGAATAATACATATGTAGCCGCTACGTTCGGTATACTCACACTGAAGATCGTGTAGGAGTTGCACGGCGGTGAGTATCTTGGCACGATGCTCGGGTTGATGTATACGCAAATAGTCCAGATCCGCGGCCTCTAACTCCCTGAAGAGCTCCAGATCCTCGTATCCGTTCAGCACAAAAACTGGAATATGTTCCTGCGCGAGCGAAACATTCATCTTTGAGACGCTACTCCCATCTTAACGGAGCTTTGAGTAGCTCACTTGTACAATGAAACGCGCTCGCGGTTTAATACACTTGGAAGAAGCTTACGGAATTCTTATAAAATTATCCTTAAGAAGATTACGGAATTTCCTTCTCAGCAACATTTCTCACACTTTGATTGGAAAAGATCGAACCAAACGTTATATCTTCATGATTTGAAAATGGATAACGCATCGTGAAAATGATATAATCTCGATAAAAGATAAATTTCAGAGAGAAACCGAAAGTGTTTTTTTTTTATATTTCGTAATGTAATTTTTTTATTTAGCCTTTGTAATACATATGTGAAAAGCGTTCTTTGCAAAATGCATGTCTCAATACGATGAAACTATGTCCAAATAATAGGACGAGAGATCTCAGTGAGTTCAATTTAGTACGAAAGAGCATCATAATTATGACGAGGTTCGCTTCAAAAGAATCTAAAGTACCGCGTGATCTCTTAGATGTTCCATAATCAAACATCTCAGACGGACTGTACAGTTATGCGAGATTTAATGACGGTCTCGAGCAATCAGCCGGGAAGAAGATACTTTGGATCTCCATCCGCTGATATAATTCGCACAGAGGGCCATTCCGGGCTTCAATTAAGTGTATACCGGGACGCTGAAAAGGCGCACACGAATCTGCGACGCTCATTAAGCGATCGATCATAGCGGCTTAATTAAGTGGCACGGCTTCCTGAATCGGAAACGACGTTTCCGGTACAGCGACTCCTCGCCCTATCATTTCGTCCCATCTCTTCCTGTCGCTTCCGTACCTTCGACTCTAGAGACTCTGCGAGGCACGCCTCTTGACAGTGAATCACGATCAAGTCTAATCTGTCGTCAAATCGCGAGACTATACATAATATCCGAGTGAATTACCGGATGTGCTTTCAGTCGTATATTTTGTGACAAATTTAAAGTCAATTCTTTTTTTCTTCTAAAAAGAACCGCGAGCACTAATTAAAAATTTTTCTAACATGCAATATAAAATTGACGTCAATATAATTAGTATTGTTAAATTTTAAATATATAATAAATTAAGATTAATATAATTAATATAATTAAGTCTTATACGCGTAAAGTTTCTGTTAAGATAAAAATAGTTTTAAAATGAAAATGAACTAAAAATAAGATTTCGTTATCCATTTAGATTCTTGAGATTTATTAATCTCACAACTGATAATTTGATGTAAAAAAATCGCCAATTTTTTTATTTTCATTTTTTATGTTTGCAATTGGAAGAACATTCAATACATTTTCGGGAGATTCCGTACATAACAAATGTCGGAGATAAATCAGAAGGAAAATGAACAACCAAAAGGAGGTAAAGAAAATATCGGGACGTATATAGCAGGTGAGGATAAAAATGAGCAAGGCGGAGACAAGGAGCGAGAGACGGAGAGCGAAAAGGACACGAATAGGAAGGAGGGAATCGAACAAAAAGGACTCGTCACGGTCTGCGGGACCTGCAAGTTGTATAAAGTATAAGCTGGAAAGCGATGGTGCGGGAGGACGCGAGAGAAGGGATGACGGGGAACAGGGAACGGGGAACGAGAGTGCGATAGGGACAACGAATAAAGAAATATATAAAAGCAAGTTCTCTACTTTGCATTCGACGCCATGCAAATGCGAATCAGTTTGTTCGAGCGCTGCAGCGAGATATTACTCTCTCTCTCTCTCTCTCTCTCTCTCTCTCTCTCTCTCTCTCTCTCTCTCTCTCTCCCTCCCCCTCCCCCCCTTCTCTCTACCTGAAGATTCATTCTCTGCAAGAGCTCTTGAACGGAACCCGGCTTCTGCCTGTATCTCTGACCCCACTTGCCCCGTTCTGGTTCCCCCCGTCTGGGCACCCTGTCGTTCAGTATCTCGACGTTTATGAACTTGAAGTGGCCTATCCTGTTGTGCACGACGCCCTTCCACAGCCCGCTCTTGTTCATCTGTACCACGTCGATTACGTCCCCCTTCTGAAACAACGTTGCCACGCGAGCATTAGTAAAGGGAAACCATTTTGTCACGTTCGATACGTTCGATCGAATCGCGCGTTATTAAATTTCCTCTTTAGATAGCTTGAAAAACAGAAACCGATAAAAAGCGTGAAAAAGAAAGACGCCCCGGATTCCAATGTAATTTCCACTAAAACAAATTAAAAAATAGCGAGTAGTAACGAACATAGGTACATCGTCAATTATACACGTCGTGCTTGCGGGTAATTACGGCGAATTTGTCGCGTCGTTAACGGTTACAGAGTTTCGCGTGGAATTTTGGTCGTAGATCGATTATCACGAAGACAGACCTTGAACTTTAACGCGTCCTTGTCGTAAGGACTGGGCGTGTAGTCCACGAGTGCCCTCGCTCGACACAGGACGGGGCCGATGGACGTCGGGCTGACCGCATCTCTGTCCTCGCAGGATATCGAGCTGTGATTGCTGCCCGCGCGTACCAGAGCCTGCGTGCTCGAGCCGCTACCACTCGGCAGGCTCTCGACGCTGCTCGCGCTGCACGGGAACGCCTCCGAGGACGCGCGATCCTGGCGCAGCCTCGAGATCTTTCGCTGCACGTCGTGCCTCAAATTCCTCGCGCGGCCTGCGATACCCGCTCTGGCGTCGCCCTCGAGCAGCGCGCTCGCCTCCGACTGGAAATTTTAATTGAGTTTTGGAGAACATCGGGGTCGCACCGTGCCCGGAATACGTGCTTCATCGAATGCACCGGGAAAAGCGACCGGCGACGCGCCGGTGGCGCGTTAATTAAATCGAGGAGCTATGTGAAATAGGGATCTCCATTGGCCGAGCCGTTTTCAATAATGCATTTATGGCGTCCTGGAATGTGACACGATAGAGAGTTGCGCGCAGGGCGATGCCTGACGTGAAAAGTATATCATCTTGATCACATCTTGGAGAGACGATTTATTTACATTAAATAATCATAAATCATTGCACATCGTCAAGAAATAAACGTTGCAATTACCATTATCCATTAATCGGTAAGCTTTCTTGCATATAAACATTTATCTCTATTACAATTAATTGCTTGCCCTTTTTTTAAAATATATTGCCACGTAACTCCTTAACTTTTCAAAGACCGACAACTTGAGACATAATTTTTTTTGTTGGGTTCAACGCATGCATGGGAAAAGATCATGAGGTAGTTTGATAGAAGCGAATTATTCTCGTCTCCGTATCTACACGTCAGTTGACGTCAGTTGTCAGTGGAATAGATCAACGTGTTGCGGTTGCATAATTTGTTGGGAGGGTGCAATGTGGCGCTCGGGTATTTTTCGCAATTCTGAGACACTACTCGAAAGCATGCTGCATTAATGAAGCGGAATAGGTAAATGGTGCGAGCGTGGAATTCTCAGAGGAAATCAATGTGCGTTCGAAATAAGAATGAAGACGGAGTACGCCAATTTCGTTTGCGTAAATTGCCACGCAATCCAATCTGTTAGAACGACGTGATCCTCTATCTATATGTATATACATCCGTGTATTTCCCACTGACTTACATAATTGCAATAAAATGACATCACGGTAATGCTATGCCGTTATCCCGTTATCCCCGTTATCAACGGCAGATTGTATATTACGCGTCGTTGTTATAAACGACGCGTTTATCAAGTGATAGACATACTCATTATGAGGCGTACCAAAGCCGGCACTTATGACAGACAATTAACGATGTAACTGCGGCTTTAAATGTAAATTAGTCGTCGGATAACTCGATTTTGCGTTATCGATGTTAAATATTTTGTATTGAAGTTTATTAAACGTTTAAGTATCCCCGATTGAATCAAATATAAGATTTCATAATAAACATCTCTCTATTGAATATAAACACTTTCATACATAATAGATTTCCCAGTCGATTTTATCATCCTTGTGAAAATCATTTCGTTAAATTACTTGTTCATTAATAACGGCAGAGAAATTTATTATATTTGCATTTTAAAGGATGCTTTTTCTCAAAATCTATTATTTATTTGTTTCTCGAAATTCAAGGCAGAAAATATTACTCAATACTTTTAGTTTATTTTGTGCAAGTACTCGGGGCGCAGAAAGATATCTTTCTATGACGGAACAAAGAACGGAGGGGCAAAGCAATACTTCGTAATTTTACTAATTGCCCGTCAGTGACAGTTGTGTGCACAGTGCACAGGCATGTTTTTCTTGGTTATCGTACTGTTTGGACGCGCCGCCTGTATCTACTCGTATAATAGTGACTGAGGAGTGCCATGCATCTGAGTATACGCGTAGAACTGGCGAAGAAGGGGAAATGGTGCGGACGGGGAAAAAAAAGTGGAAATAGAATCTGCACGTTTTCTCAAAGGACTACTCTCATACGTTACGTACTGTATGCACGGCGGCCGAGTGTTGACTCTCGAGTTCTTCTTGATCCTCATAGTCGCTACTCTGGCTCGGCGATAGTCCCTCCTCGCCGCTACTCCGACTCTAAAATATTGACACCTCGCAGAAACAGTTCTAATGACCAAATACGAAAGGGAAAAGCGGACATACTATGATGGATCTAATAGCGCGCGGATGCTGTTAAACAGGGCAACACGGTTACGGGCAATATCGCTAGGTAATATCGGACACGAGACTGTCACCGGTGGTAGAGCAGGTGTGAGAGGCACAGAGGTATGAAGATACGCAGTATCCAATGTAAAAAATATTATATCGTACGTGCAAGCGCGAGGGCCGCCTCGAAAGTGTTTTTATATAATGTGCGATTGGTGTTTAGATCTAGAGATAACTAGATCCAAATCAATATCACAACTTCATATGAACAATTTCAAGATAAAATAATTTTCAAAATATTAACGTCAAGCTATCTGTAAAATATAAAAAAAATGCACATAGTTTATTATGAATATTTTTTCGTTGAATATTTTTTTCGAGGCAACTTTCGCGATAAACTAAATAGTAGCAGCAGATATACATGAGTCAGGGGTTAAGTATATAAGTATAACACACGACGTGTTAACGATGTTATACACTCGATATATCAATAGAGCGGGGGGTTGCGTGTTACATGAGAAAATAAATAGCGTATGCAGGCTACGCCGGTTTAGATGGGTTAGTGATATACTTAATATTGGCGTGTCAGTGTGTGAGTATTATTTATACACATAGAGGCTGTCAGTGCTGTGTAGGCGTCAGAGCAGGAAATGAGGCACCTTATTCTGGTGCCTCTGATCAGATTATGAGGTTCTTCAGTTTTTGCTTAAACGTCAAGCACGATTATTATAATGTTGCACGCTCAACTATCACGATTGAACTACAGTAAAGATACAAATGATATATATAGACGTGTGTAAAGCGCAAACATGCTTCGACAAAATTTTTAAAGGTGTCATCTTTATCAGAATCGTACTTTCATCGTTCAATTATTTTTTATAATATTATTAGAATTCGAGATCTGTGTGACAAGAATCCTTTTGCTATAAATTTAAAAAAATTAAATATTTTCAAATACAATCTCATGTAATTTCTAATTTTTTATATCTTAACGATTGATCTCCGTACCACAAACTTTATTTTAAAATTTCTATTTCTTATATATTTCATATATTTTTACAATAATAAGCTGCGATATTTTATCTTTATCATGATACGTATAAACATCGATCGACGAAAAAGAACGAGAAAGAATTATTAAAAAAGCACATATCCCGGCAGTTCAAACAAGATGCTGGTAAATGCCGAGGCTCTACCGCGAAAGTGGTATCCGATCGTTATCAAGTTTGCGAAGTCGACGAAGAATAACGTTTGCTCGGCGGACGAGGAAACTGGTAGATTCGACGTGATTTCAACGCAGCCGCTGCATCGTCGAGCCGTCGCACTCGATTCCTCGCAAACAATCCGTAAATCTCGCGGATTCTCATTGTCCGCCCGTCCGACGGATCCGTATGGATCGAGTGGCTCTCGGTGCCTGGATTCACCGAGGCAACACACCGGAAACTGACCGGAGAATAGCAACATCTCTCTCAAACGTGTAGCAGCCGTTACGTATAGTGATCGGCCATCACGACGCGATTCCTGCGTGAGGAAATCCCGCTATCTGACGCGCGTAAGAAAACCGAACGAAAAATCTATATTCACGAATACGAGTACCCTCACATTCGCCGCATCTAATCAACCGGAATACTCTCCCGTCTCCCGTTTCTGAAGATGCCCGGCATAAATGTAATACGAACCGAGCGCGTACGTCACGCGCCGGACAAGCGTACACACAGGTGGGTTAGTAGTTATGGAAACGCCTGGGTGGTGCCTGCGGGAGAGGTGATAGGGAGAGAGCTATGTCATCCATAGATTCGGCAGATACGAACATATCTGGGAACCGGGCGGCGTTGCGCGTTGCTTTGCGGTGACGTTGCGTCGGTGACGGTGTTGGTAACGGTCGTGCTAGTGGCGGCGGGGTGACGCTGATTGGGTCGGGGTGAGACCGAGTGGTGATGTTCGTGATGATGGCGATGGTTGTGACGGTGCTCGTGGTGATGCTCCGGCCGATCGGGGTGGCGACCGCCCACCGGAGGCTGGTCGCTCCTACTCGTGTCCACCGACACAGTCGACAGTCTCGAGCTCACACTCTGCAGCCCCAAAATTAAATAAATCACGCCGTGACGTACGCCCGCGAGAGAAGGTATAGGCGCCCCGACCGTTCCCCTCCAACCCCCCCGGGATGTACGCCCATGGGGAGATCCGAGCGGCGTCGGATCTGCGCTTCTCACGGGGGAGATCGAACTTGGGCGAAGGGACTAAGAGAACCCGACAATACCCGCGCGTCCTCTTGCGTGGTGCGCTTATCGCAACGCAGTGACTTAATGTAATTCCGCTATGGAGTGACGGCTACGATCTAACGGGATTTATCCAGACTGGATTCGGTCCTTCGATATTACGGCCTCGTCGCAATAATATTACCCGCGACTTAACGAGGTTCGTGACTTACTTTGGGGCACGGTGATTCGGTAATTTCGAGCGACAGAATCGTGAGGCGGGGGGGTAGCTTATGCCATTTTGTTCACTTTGTCAAGGCTAGTTAACCACGCTACTCCGGAACGTGAATAAGAAGTTTTCAAAAACGCATCACAAAACATATCACCGAGCTTTATCTCTAAGGCATTGGCTGGCTGGTTATTTACCAAAACTTTCCGTCGCCTGTACTAAGATATTAAAGCACGTAAGACGGTATATAACTTGACTGTGCAAGCAGCAAAGGAATTTCCGCTTCAACACGACAATGTTTGTAGTTGCAAAGGTTTACAAAGTGATGCGCGCGATAGTTGCCCGGATTGTTGCTCGATGACGGTGGACTTACCTGCACGTCGCTACTCGCGTAATCTCCGCTCTCACGAGAAGCCCTTGAATGCGTTAAGGGTATAATCGTCGGCGGATTATTGTGACCCTGAGGAACGATGAGACCCCGCATCGTCGACGTCGCACCTTTCCTCGAACGATCGCGTGGCAAACTGATATCGCCGGCTGTTCGAAGAGAGATTACACCCTCGCCTCGATTTTCCGGCCTCATATTCAGCGTGAAACACACCCTGATGTTCGATCGTATTATTTAATCGTAATGAAAAAATCTATATATTTTTCATGATTCACAATTACTATGCTTAGGTCTGACAATAAGCTGTCAAACGATATCAGGCTCGAATTTGTATCCACGGTAATAATGCCAAGATTTCACGTTATTTTTTTTATTTTAAATTGCGAAAACGTTACCTTCCATTCTGGATGGTCGCGGTAGGTACCGGACCGCCACTAGCCCCCATAAGAAAGTCTTCGGGATCCGATTCATAAGGTGGTTCGTCATACCAATGACCGCCTGGTCCGGGACCTAAACCACCTGCACCTCCGCATCGCGCGTCTTCGTCATACATGTACGTATCATCTGTGAATTGTATTGTCCTCTGACTTGCGAACATTGGAATTGACATTTTCAATTTTCGATTAAAAATTGAAATAACGGAAAACATCATTAATTTTTGTATGTATGGTATTCATTAAAATTTGCAAAAACTCAGCGATAGAATAATTTTGATAATTCTGAATTTAATAATGTTAAAAGATAGCATTATATATATATAAAAAAAAAAAAACATTTTTAATCGAAGATATTAGAAGAATATCGTAAAAAAATAAATATTGCAAGATTTAAAAAATTTCTTATGGATAAATGAATGTTTGTGTATTACGCCTTAACAAAATCTTCGGAAATATACTGGCGATTATAGGATCGGATATTAAATATTAATCATGAATGCTGAGTTAAATTACGTTTAAGGATAGCATACTGAAGAATTTAGATCCTCTTTTGGTATAGAAACTTGAGAATGACAAGCGTGCATGCGATTATGTGAAGGAAGAGAGACAGAGGTAGCAAAGAGAGGGAAAATGAAGATGGCGGGTACTAACAATAACGAGATTAGCTCGCGTATGCGAGGGGTTTCGCGACGCGATCGTACCATAGCAGCTTTGTAAATATAGGAAATAAAACCGCAGTGATGATAAATCGACAATAAAGAGCATAGAGCATTTTCTATTCATGCTGGAATATGTGAAATATTACATTAGCGGCTTATTGTAATTACCCTCTATCCTTAATTATTCTCTATTGTATAAATTCATACGTTATTAGTTTCATAAGTACTTCTTTGTTTCATTGTTCAATTTTAAACGTTTGAGAATTTCCCCGATATTTTTAATACAATATAAATAAATATCAATATTGTGTTGTGAAACAAGCTTTTTTACTACAATTACATTATTTATTTCCTTTTGCCGCAAGCATATATTTTGTTATAATAATATAACTAATAAGGCTAAAAACTAATAAGGATATAAACTAATGTAACATAAACATACGGTTAACGTTAACAATTATTATCGTTTAAAAAAAATAATAATAAATTAATTGTAATTATCCTCTGTGTATTTAATAAACATAATAGTTAAATACAATCGAATAATTTTTCATTTTACATTTTAATAAATTTTCTTTAGTAATAACATAAATCATGTAATTTTCTTACATGCAATCTAGCCTCTTAGAGATTTAATGTTTCTTATTGCATTTCAACACGCATTATTGTTTATATTTTATTCTATTCTTTTTTCAACATTCAATGTTAATTCAACAAACCGTGTAGCAAAAAAGCTTTTTCTTCTTTTCCCGAGCAAGCGCCTTTTTGGGAGGCGTGGGTATCATTCCGGTGCGCCTCCGTTTTATCGTAAAAAGCTGCTGAGGCTACGGGGAGCGAGATTTCGTGAAAAAGACTACGAGGGGAGCCATCAGGAAACGAATGCTCAAAATGAGTCTCGCGAGAGAGTGGAGCAGCTACACATACGAGGTGTCAGGCATTTGGGAGTCGATTCGGGCGTTCTCATACCAGCTGGCACGTGCGCGTTTTGTTCAACGTTCACGCACACGGTCGCACATTGCCGCGCGTAGGTATACGTACGCGCAAGACCTATACGGATATATAGGGTGTAAGAAAGGGTCGGGTTACAGGTCGCGGGGAGACGAGGCGACAACTAGCTGGAGGTTAGTCCTTGATGTACTTACCCCCAGGGAGCTGACCTCGTCCGTCTCGTCCTAGCTGCATTAAACCCTGCCGGATATCCCTCAGTATCTGAAACAGTACAATGTCGACGTCGTGAGTAAACGTTTATCCGGCATTGTGATTAAAACTGCTATTAGCCGCGTTCGCTTTGGTGTTTGCATACCGCGGAATTGCTTTCGTCGATTTCAGCGTGGTCTCGCGAGTATCGACGGTTATAGAGGCGCTTGAAAAATTTATCGCAGAATATACACATCGCTAAATCGCCGATTTAAAAATCGTGCTAGGACAAAATAATTTTATATTATTGGAAAATGTGTTCTTCTCATTAGTTATCTAATGAGAAATGAACGGAAGCTATTAATTTTCGAGTTGCCATTAAAGGCACGCTCTTAGATATTCTTGAAGATTATATTATATATGAAGGTATATGATGGTTCGTATGATTAAACGAAAATAATGGTCCGATATATAATCGATACAGAAGGATCTCATTACCTGAGATTTCTCTCATCACGCAAAAATACTTGCAAGTTGATTTTTACGTCTTCTTGTTATATTAAGTTTGTAAATTTTAAGTGCAATGATTAAATTTAATCCCTGAAGTCCCCGACGTGCATATTACTATGAAGTCTATAAAATGTTATATTCAAATACAGTCAGAATCTTTCATTAAACTTTGTAGTACGTTCAAGTATCGCTTCCACGCAAATTGCGTTTCTACGTAAGTAACTAATTGAAGTAATGGCGCGCCTAAGGAACTGAATTTCATACCGGGAGATGCCCTGCCACACCGGTAGCGTAATCACGTGTAATCTAAATGGTATTACCGGGAACTTACATGCGCGGGTTCTTTCACGGTGGATAATCGCCGTTATCCGGCTCGTGTTGGACCACCATCGATGTTTTTGAGATCTGCGCGGCCGTACGGCGAGAGGGGAAGAGATGAAAGAAAGGATAAAGCGAAGAGAACTACTGTGTACATATATCGCTCGTCGTTTTTCTACGGTCGACGACCGCGAGTCCTCGATAATCGGTGGAATAAAACGAAAAGCGATTATCGGTCAGGATGTTGCAGACGTAATGTCCTGATGAGGGGACAGCCCGGTCGAAGGTTGTTTCCTGGGCGAGAAAAAAGACCGGAATAGCAGTCGGGGCGGAAGAAGATGAGGAAGATGAGGAAGAGGAGGAGGTTGTCGAGGTGGTCGCCCGCGGCTGTGTCGGTACCTACCGAACCGAAGTGTAGAGGCCAAAGCGAGGGAGAAGAAGCGGGAGCAAAGGGAGAATAAGAACAGGAAGGAGGAGAGGCCCAGGAAGAGAAAGAAAGAGATTCTCTAGAGAGCAATAAACCCCCGCGAAGGTAGAGGTGGCACTAAAACTTTTACACGGATAGCGACCTTTATTTCCATATTGCTCGCAGCCTCAAAGGAAGATGGCCGCTTTATTTCTTCCAACGGTTCTCCTCCGATATCTCCGCCCTTTTCTCATTCTCACCCCGATCCGCTGCGCGGTCCGTGACGCCGCCGGTTTTTGGCAATTTCAAGCGACCCTTTCTCGCGTCCCCTCTCCTTAAAACTTTCGCAGAATTCCGCGAAGCTTACGTTCGCGTAATTAAAACTCCCGGCTCGTGCGCCCAGTTACGACGTTCGCGCCGCGGCGCCGTTGCCGTCCACTTTTACGCGCGCGACCTTCCCTGTAATGGGCAGTTTTTGACAAGCTGCGATGGTAAAGAAGAGAGAGAGAGTATCCTTTCATATGGGGAGAGAGATTTTCGAGGATACGCGACACACGTAACGAGCTGCAAGCTGCGCTGCGACGCTGCGTCGTTACTCTCGATGTTGTTACGTGCGGGGCGTGTGTAATGCTCGAGTATTCTCTTGCGTGAAGCAACGCGTGTACCTGCTTATGCATGAGCCGCGCGGTATAATACACATGATTGCATCGAAACGGTCCCGTTTACGTTGAAACCGCCACTTTTCCCTCATTACTGGGAATTTGGAGAATTTTTTATCTTTGGAATTTGCAGGATATTCCGTGTTTGCCGTACGTGTTATTTTCTACGTAGAGAAAATTTTTTTTGGTCAATTTCAAGTCTATTTTATTTTAGTAAAAATCTAACTAAACACAACATTAAATATCTTGATACTAATGAAAAATTAAAATTAAAATAAATTTTATTTCAAATTCGGAAAATAATAAAAGAATGTTATTTACCGATATAAAACTTAATTTTAGAAAAGTTCTATACGTTCAAGATATACCCTTGCATTTATATACACCTTATAAATAGCAATAAAAATTTTTTATGTCCCTGCGTAGCTGTCAAAAATTTAATTCTCTTATCAAAAATTGCGATGACCAGAACATGACCAGCAAATAATAGCATCGTAGATAAGATGAACTGAGAAGATAAGAGAAACTGAGGAGAGAAGACTTCAATTTTTTCACGACACGTGCGGCTAACTTTTTAACGGAGTTAATTTTTTAATAAAGCCGCGCGCGCAACATTACCCAGAGTGTACCTTTCAAGTAGTTAATTTAGTCTGTCCTGTCTCCTTTATATATATTTCTATACCGCAGATAAATTAACGATGATAAATATACTTCTCCGAGGATTATTATTAAAAATCGACAAGGAAAGGGTATTATTGATCAAAGTTAATCTTAGAAGAGATCAGATCGTGAAAAGAATAATGAAAAGAGTTGTTTATTAAAATTTTCATAGACCCTTCGTTGAAAGTTAGCTAATCGATTTTATCGCGAAGTTATTCTATCTTAATCATTCTCGCAGCTTTCTACGTTTTACTGCGAAATCTTCAAGTCCAGCATTCATCAAATTTCATCGTTTAATATTCCGCGCATTAATTAACTACTCTTTGCTTTATTTTAATTAAGCAACTATAAACCAAATATTATCAGTGATAAATAGCGTAAACTACATTATAAACACGACGAAATCCGCGATTGCGCACACAAAGCAAGAAATGACGCAGAAATTTTCATGTTGGACAGGCATAACGATGCGAAACCACGCGGCGGAAAATAAGAAAAGAAGGAAAAACCCGTACGCGTATATCGCGAGAGATCGTGCATAAGGAATTCACGACGCAACGTGCACGGTACGCATTGACGATTATGATGATATCACGTTGATCTGGCTACTTTGCATAATAAGAGGTATCGAGTTGGCGAAAGACAGTCCGAAGAAGGGGGTTAGTAGCGAAGGATACGACGTGAGGGGGGGGGAGGACGAGCTCGCGCGTATGTGAAACGGTGGGGGTCGACGACGATACGTAGGGCGAGAGTCGAGGTCTTGGTGATAGCACATACATGCAAATTTCGTCCTGCGAGAATTCCGATGCGGGAGGCAGGATTGTATCGGATAAGGCCACCGGCTCCCAGGGCCAATATCAGTCGAACGACAAGAAGAGGGTTGCCGATGATCCAGGCAACGTACAGGGGGGGAATTGCGGGAAGAAAATAAACGTGCCGTGGCGCGCGCGCACGGGTTGGTTTAATCGCGATAAGACACCGCGCCGCGTCCTTATCGCGATCGGCTACGTACGATAACGAAAATTGTCGCTCGCGCGCGCGAAACGCGGGACGTGAGTGCTCGCGCGAAATGCGGTGAGATATATCCTTCATGGAAGCACCATTTGGCAATTTAAAGGGAAGGGAAACGAGAACAAAACTCTCCCCATTTGCGAACGTTGGCAATTTTTGGCATTAGTGTCCTCCCACTCCCGCGAATTACAAATAAGTTTGTTAGCGAAAACCAAAGACAAAAATTTCATTATGGAATTGGGCGATAGAGATGGATTCAAGATGTGCACTTACCTCTTCGTGCTCTTTGTGAAACCGCTCTTTCTTTCGCAGCGCCTCTTGAACTTTCAGCTGAAAAATGCAAGGGGATGGAAGCGTTCTTAAGTTTCGTTTAAAAAGGTTTTATCGACGGTAAAGCGACTTTCTCGCGAGAGTGACTTCCAAGCATTCCAAGTAAATTCAAGAATCACGATTGTATAAGAGCAAGCATAGCTTTCGCTCAAGAATTTGAACGGAAACTTATTATGTATTATCCATCTTTACTTTTTAATAAAAAATATTTAAGAGTTATCTGGGGTACTGAAGAAAGTAACAGGCGAGAAAAATGCTTTAAATCTTATTACTTAAATAAATACATATATATTTAATGGTTTTAAACGACATATCTTGCAAAATATAAATAAAATGAAATAAAATATGATTTACCCTGTGAATGGTTTCTTCGAAACTATTTGGTTGACCGCCGTTCATCTGTAGGTACCTTAGTCGATCGTAATCTCGAGGATCCACCATCGAACGAAGAATCGTGTGTCCCATGTCGGGGCCGAGACCCAAACCGCTTTGCAGAACACTGTCAGGTGTGTCTACCTGTAAAAAAAAATAAAGCACAATTGAAATTATTGAGGCAAACGTGATTATTATAACATTACTGTAACGTGATTATAATTAATTAACTGAATATTGTCAAAGAGTATAATATTTCCCAAATATCTGATTCAATTTTTTTCTGTTTTATATATAAAACAGAGAAGAAATAGAAACATATAAAACACACAAGTTGTTTTTTTGCTTAATAGGTTTTAAAGCAAATAAAATATATAAACCGGTATTATAAATAAAACTTTACATAAAAAGGTATTGCGTATTAAAAATTTTTATATTAATCTGGAAAAAATTAAAGTCACATCTCAGTGACTTTCTTTTTCTCTCAAATTTTTGCCCCTTTTTATCTTTTATCTTTTATCTGTATATTCATCTCCTCCTCTACAATGTAATCATACGCAAATTTACGCGGAGAATTAAATTTCGAACGTTGTAAAATGATGAGAGTCATAATCGCAGTCAGGACATTGATTACAAATGATCGTTTGTAGAGATTCACGCAATAGTTCACTGCGATCGTCGCGCAAATCCTCCTTCCGTGCGGATACATTTTCGTAGAGAGATGTAGCATTCCCTTTCATAGAGCATCTCCTATTCTATAGAATGTCGAGCTCCTTAAAAGCGGCTGCCATTTATTCTCGCGACGTTCCTGTCGCTAATGGGGCTCGTGCATAAGATATTCAGGACGCGGCGAGGGTCGCCATGGAGATCGTCAATTTCTCGTTCTTCAGTCCCCGCGGGATGAGAGTGAAAGAAGAAGAGAGGGAGGGAAAAAGAGGAAATACACGACGTCGTGTATTTTGGAAAAACGTAACGCGAGATTCTAATCGTGCGGGCGAAACGGGCGATATTACGAGCGCTGCGTTAGTCGAATGATTAAGTAGAAGCCTGAGAGTTTCGTTCCCGCGGTAACTTGAAGACAAAGCCCTCAAAGTATTTACAAAGGACCACCTCTTCTACGAGATTAGCCTGAGTAGGGAAATTCATCTCCCTTTCCTTACTATTTTAACCGTCGTCGTCGTCGTCGTCGTCGTCGTCGTTTTCGTTATTGCTGTAACATCGTCTTACAACGAACCATCGCTGTAGAGGAATGGTTAAAGATGAAAATTATCGCGTTGACACTTTGTAAATGCGGCCTAGAAATTATTTCACACAGTGTCTTTAAGACATTGTTACTGAAGTGGTACAGAGATAACCGAGAAGATTTGTTTGTAATATCGATTGCATCACTACAATTCTATATTATTGAATATTTTTTATTAAAAATGTGCGTTAAAAGTTAAAATTGTAAAGCATTGTGAACATTATTAATTTATTTACACACAAAATTATTTTTTTTTTTAACAAGGCTCAGCTTCTTGTACCTATTCTTTTTTATTATGTTTCTTGTAATTCCTTTTTAAAAGATTTACGTATATGTAGAATTCTCATAAAATTCATCAATTAAATATAAAACTTTCAAAATTACGAATTTGTGAATAAGTCACATAAAAAAGTATTAATATGCTAATATAGACGAACTCGTATAAACTAGTGCGCTTCACGTATCTCGTTAGAAATTAATGAGTTATCGATTTTTATAGGTGGTTAATAGAGTCGTGATTAGAATATCGTGAATACGGATAATGAAGGCGCTAAAAGAAAGATATAGACCTTGCTTAACTTGCAAACAAAACTGATTGTGAGTTAATCCAATAATTTTACTAGGCAGTGTACTCTCTATTCCATATTCTATTATTTAAAAAGCGGTTATTTGATAATACATCTATTATAATTGGAAAAATTACATATTCTCTTGGTTTCTTTTTTCACTGTAAGAAGTCAACATAAAAAGTTATCCTTTTTCCCTCTCTAAGCTCTATCCCTTTTCCTAGTTCAAAGTTTATATCCTTCATCGGATGAAGTGTCCCGTTATACGAACAAATATCGACTCATCGCGCGGTAATCTCGATGCCTAAGGAGGAAAAAGCCGTGTTCCGCAGACACAACGCCGGGACGATTACCTTGCGGTGCGCGATTTAATTAAACCACGTGGTATTTATGTTAAACGGATTAGAACCGTTTGTTTGCGCTCGCAGACTGAGCTTCCTCCACGGTCGTGGCTGTAGCATCCACTAAGCTTGAATAATACCTAGAGACAAGGCTGAGAATTTACGTCGTTCCCTTGTTTACCGGCGTGATGTTGACTTTTTCTTCTGGAGGCGGACGGCGAAGAGGCGGAATAACTAAAGAAAATCCCAAAACCCTGAAGATGCGTTTTTAAAACGCATCTTTTATCCGCGAATCTCTCACGGTAGTCTATATGTAATCTTCTGATACGACAATGTTATCGCGGATTATTGTCTCTTATGGTAGGTATGCTATGGAAGAGATGAGTACATATCGCGATGTCTCTTTGTCTTACAAAGTTATCTTAGAATTGTGCCGTAATTTGATATCATTGCGCTACTATCCGCTCTTCGTAATTTATCGCGATTATTTTCTTACTACGATATCTCTTTTCTTCCACGCTATTATTTTCCTTCTAATTACTCGATAGTGAGGTTAATGTATCAATGCCGGAACACTTAAGACCTATGTCTGAACACTGTTATCATTTTAGTTTTTAAATAAGTATAACTCGAATTAAAATCAAAGATAAAAATATAATACAAGAAAAATATTTTTATCTTTATAATTCTTTGATTTTAATTCACGTTATAACTTATTTAAGGACTAAAATGATAAAAATGTCCAGACATAGGTACATTTACCTTAACATAATATATTCATTTATGCATGTATAGTCTAAAATCTAAATATTTCAAGACAATTTAAAATGATGCTTAACGTCGCAAAGATTTGCACGAGTTCTCGATCGAACGGATATTAAACTGCCTGACAGATTCCCACGCTAATCATTACACGCAACGAATACTCCATATAATAACGAGGAGATCCCCATTGCGCCTACATCCAAGCCTCGTCGCGAGGCTAAGGAGCGCGCGCGACGTAGTACAGATACAAATAGCAGTCGCTCCGAGAAACAATTTTGCCCATTCATCTACCGCAGCGAGATCGACACGGTAATACATCTCGTCTGGAAATAAATGTTGCGATTGCGAGTACGCGAACGCGCGTCTTGGTACGCAGCTGATTTCCATCAGTTAGCGTCCGACCTGCGCGACTCTCCCGGCCCTTCCGGGAGGACGACGCGGAGCGGCGCGCGGCGCGGCGTAGGGCGCGAAAGATTAAGCGATCGTTCTCCTTCGCCGTTACGTAAATCACAATAAACCCGTCGCAGTCCGTACAGTTCGGGATAAATGGCGGAACGGTACGGCGTGCGTGCCGGGAAGATCTGTGTTAGCTCGCTCGAGCGAAGGATGGTGTCCGAGGGGATGGACCGCTCGCGCGCGATCGAACGCGATGAGCAGTTAGGGAGGCCACGAGAAGAGAAAAGGCGGAGGAGGTGACGCGAGGGTGGAGAAGGGTCAGAGCAGCGTGTATATTTTTAAGGCTAAGCAGTTAACTGGCCACCTGGGGCGGACTCTCCTTACAGGATCGGTTTATAGCCGCTCTCAGTCAGCCGTGCCGTGCCGCCTACCGGTTAATTTATCCCAGCATTGTTATTGCCCCAACGTGGCCTCGGAGAGAGAGAAAAAGAGAGAAAAAAAGAAAAGGAGAGCCGCCGCACCTCGCTCGAGACCCGAGAGACAGATGTGCCGCCACGTAGCGTCGTGACAAACGCAATTAAGCATCTCACGACTTCCTGTACCGAGAGAAACCTGTAATCTGGTCATCTAGCCAACTCCGTAGACTCCTACCGGGGAACGCCCCGCGGCACGGGATCGCCGTAACAGGCCCGCTGGCTGTTGCACGGAATGCACCTTCGAGACCTTCGCCGGCCGGCCGGCCCCAACGACAGTGGTAGGTTCCCTGTCGGAGCGGGCTGGCGGGACTCATCCGGATCGCCTCTTCCCGTGCGACCCTTATCAGGATTCGAACCTGATTTACGAACACGGGTCGGTCGAGTAACGGCACTGGCGACGTTAAACTGCTGCGATTTGTTTCCCGGTAATAACGCCGCGTTCCGCAGAGAAACACGATAATCGCGTTTCAGGCGTTAGAGAAGCGGGCAGCCCGGAAACCTACGGCGGTTTACGTGAATGAGAATGCAAATTATCGATTCTTCTCAAATCACATTAAAGACAGGTATACGTACTGTAAGACCGGCGCGCGATTGAATTTACCTTCTCGAAAAATGCGCCGTTAACTATAAGCTTTTGTGTAGGGTAACTTAATAAAACTTGTGTAAGCTTTTGTGTGCAATGTAACTTAATAAAAGGACTTTTATAATTTCGTAACTTTATTTTAAAAAGACCGCCGAAGAAAATTAAATTTCTCACTGAAAGTTCACGGTCAATAGGCACGTCGAAGATTTATTAATATAGTAATTATAAGTTATAACACGCAAAACGCGATTATACAGCTTGCGATTTCGTGGATAGGATAATATGCAATTTGCTCATCCGTCTGCTTGTGGGATCCTCTCGGATCGCCGGAGGGCATAGAACCCGCGAATAAGGTTACTACCGGATTGAACTACGGAGCTGCGTGCAGAATATCGTTTTCGAAGTTACGTGTAATGAACATGCATGCGCGCTCGATTAAAATAGCTATGGATCACTAAAATAACTTGATTATGAAAGTATATTAATATGCAGAATCGCGTCCAGCTTTTAAAGGTAATTTAATGAATTAATATTAATTTATCGCTCTCTCTTTCTCTCTCCCGTATTACATATTAATATCAATCCAATTCTGATAAGAGTTTACTATATGTAAAATTTATTCGGCGCGAGATCGAACATTACGAGAGTTGCTATGGCTACGGTTGTCTCCTTTAATTCTTCTGTAAAATCTGCAACTCTGGTTAATATACATATGTAATAATATAATTTTTAAAAAATTGATAATTTTAGCAGTTTAAATTACCTTCTTTTCCT